TCTTTCCCTTCCTTGTTAGCTGGTCCTTGTCACTGTTCAACAGGGCTTCATCACATGGCCAAAGATGCCGAAGCCCTGCAGGTGACACCATCTGTACAGGTATAATGATAGCAATTTAAATATGATTTGTCACATGCTACCCTCAGCTACCTTGATGCAAATAAAAAAATGACACTTGTGCAATTACTCTGGCTTTATGCCAGTATAACAGGGGTCAGAGATGGCCCATAACCTTTCAATATCCTTCTTTTGTAGACCTCTCTCTTTATGCTTGCCCACTTCTTCTCGCTGTCTCTTTCTCTCTGCCTTTTCCCCTTTTTTGCTTCCTAAGAAGGGGTTGATTTAATGACTGAAGGATATAAGAATGTGTAATGACCAAAATGTGTTATTTATTTTGCTAGGTTTTGAATTTTTTGAAACAAGTGCCAAGGACAACATAAATGTCAAGCAGACATTTGAGCGGCTCGTGGATATCATCTGCGACAAAATGTCAGAAAGTCTGGAAACAGATCCTGCCATTGCTACTGGAAAACAGAATACAAGACTAAAGGACACCCCTCCACCACAGCAACCCAACTGTGGCTGTTAATACAGTGATTAACAAAGGCAGCTCCAGTGTGTTCTATTGCCAACAGAGTACTTATGAATGGTCTATAAGCCTTTATTTATACTGTCTTCTTAATTTATTTGGGGGAAATTTATGTTAGCACCTGGTACGGTATGTGTAAACAACTGTATAGAGATGTTATCATTAGTTTGTAAGGACTACCCATTTCTCACCATCTGGCCTTTGCATGTGGATGGCTTCCCGTTTGTCTTCTCTTTTTTAACTCTTTATACATTACACTTACTTCAGCTGGTGCTGTGACCTCAGACCAGTTTGCCTATATCTGATTTTTTGTTTCATTGGTTTTAAATTACACAATTTTCTCCTTAAGGTGTAATGACCAGGTACTTGGGAATAAGCTTTCTGGTGTCATTTATAATTTACATAATACACTGTTAAATTAATTCATCAATGTTAAAATATCGCTCAAATATAGGGAGCTTATCACTGTTCTCTCCAGACCACTTGTTCGTGGCATACTTCCTAGGGGGTAATACTGCAGCACATCCATGGCCACCTAGGGAATTCACTGCTGCCTCTGTGCTATGCATCATGACCACTCAGAAATTCAAAGAAACAGCAGGGGTAGAACTCCAAACTGCCTTGATCCAAAAACAGGCCCTAGCATTTGGTATAGGAAACATTTATATTAACTGCTGGCAGGATATGGGATATGTCTCAGATCCAGGAAGTTATTTAGGCATTTGCCATCGAAATCATGAGTTAGACATCCAAATTCCTATGTGGATCTGGGCTTACATTGCACTTCCATCCATTTGATATGCACTGGATGGATCTGCTCCAACAGATGGGAGTTGATAGTTACTTCCTCTGGATTTTATTTGCTTTTTAGACAATGAATACTCATCTCTTGATATTATCCCAGAAAAGCCAAATCCACTGTGTTCAGTTATTCAAAGCCAGAAAATATTTAACCACATTGCAATAGAAGCTGTAGTGTGTAGGTCTTCAGGAATTTCATCTTTCATTTTGTTCTTAAAAACAGACGATCTATGTGAATTTTGTAGTCTGAGAAAACCCCGATGAACAGACTGTAAAAGCCCCTTTCTCTCCTCAAATATTTCTGTAGAGCCCCAGCTGAAGGTAGTGAGATTTGTTGCTGAAGTGAAAATGAGTCATTCCACTAAAAAAAGAATTTGGACTGGACTTGCCTGTGGGAGCTGAGCAGTGATTCTTGGTGACAGCACAATCAGAAGTTCGCACAGATCCTGGACCTATGAACAAATTACAGTGACTTAAAAGGTTGTAAGTTCTTACCATGGAGTAACTGTTTATCTGTCCACTCTTATCTCAAAGTTAACTGAGCGCTAAATCACAAAAATCCCTGTTTTACTGAAGGCTAAGCTGCTCTAGTTTAGCTTTCACTTACTTAACATGGGGTAAGAACAGGCACCTGGACAGTTGACTTGGAACAATTGTACAGCCCATCTCCTTTAACTCTCCGTAATTTGTTTGTCCATACACAAAGATTTTTGAAAATTGAGAAGGAATAAGTTCCTCTGTAATTTCTGTAACTAGACTGTGCAGAAGACTTGCAAAATTGGTGGAAGGTTGTGAAGATAACAGAATAATGTCCACAGATTTTAATTTTTTTAAGCATTAAAAAATGGTCATTTCTTACAATGTTAATAAGCTCTCACTCTACTAATTGGTGGCAAGTTCTCATATCGGTGTCCTGCTGTACTTTGTACAGCTTCTTTATCTGGGCCACTATAATAGTCTTCAAGTAAATGGTATTATTGAGGAGACATTAACTTTTTGTTGTTCTTAATTATTTCAGCTTTAATACAAGGTTGACATTTTACTAAATACATGCAACCAAAAAAAAAAAAAGAAAGAAAGAGAAACAGAATAGGAAAGTGAGAACCATAACAGCTACTTGACATTGCTTATGGCACACAAGACTTCAAGGAAACCCCTTTACAGAACATCACTTCCTTTAGGGTATTTATATAAACTTTAAGGCCACACCTGTATTAGGAAACATGGTTATTTTCAATGCATCTGAATTAATGCCCATTAACTACCACATGGTAAAATTCTGTCATGAGCAGGGCACACACAGACATGTTGGGCAAAATTCTGTTTTACCCAGGGGATGACCGAAGTGCAACTTGCAACCAACTCTGAGTTACCCGACTAACCTGTGTCATTTTATTAGCCCTCTCTGGGCAGGTAAGGGCCCCATTATAGGATGATCCTAACAGATCCTAGTGGCTGTCCACTAGGTGAAACAGAATTCTGTCCATTAACTGTTGAGATAAGCCCACCTTGATTTACCTTGATTAACTAACTTCATGTCTTGGTCTAGATGCATCTTGTCTAGCCCGAGGTTTCAAAACGTGTTGGTCAACACCCTCTTAGTTAACATATTAAAAAAATATACCTTTTTCTTACTGAAAACAGGCCTATCAGTGCTATCATTTGATTCCAAGAAAAAATGAGGAAAGGGGAAAAATTGGCTGCTTACTGCCCTCTGCTTTCAGTTTTTTCAGTAGACGAAGTGGAAGACATGGTGTAATCAAGCAGGACCAAGAGATCTTCAACCTTGCCCTTCTGCAGGCATATACATGGTGTGCCAAGCGTGGTCTGCCTGCCACCCCACCCCCTTTTAGGTACCAGCTCCTCCAGCTGTAGCTATGCACAACCCTCCCCTATAAGACTAGAAGAGTTGGTCAGAACATGAAGTTTTCTATAGGGTTGCTTCCAACTCTCCAGCAGGGAATAGCATACCATGTGCTATAATGCCACTATTGGTAATATGGGTACAGCTCTTATCAGTAGCTCTCATATAATTTTTAGAAACACTACAACTTGCACTTTTACAAACTTTCAGAAATACTACAACTGGGGACAGTGCCAGCCTCATATCCAATACAGATCAGAATTGAAGACATTGCTAGCTATAGTCCAAACTAGCTGAAGCACACAACTTAGAAGACCCAGCAGTGCCATAAGTGCTAGTAGTAGTAGTTTATTTACAGCTTCCACTAAAACAATCCACTAAAATGAACAGTAAAAATTATATGTAATAAAAGAACAACATTTATATAATGATTATTTTTGTTTAAAACATAGACATAAGGTTATCCATTCCAGCAGTGTACACAAAATTAAAACAGAACATGGTGCACAATGATACAAAAGAGATAAAATGAACCAGTGGACAGTAAAGCAAAGCAGAGGGATTCTGTTTGATTTTGGCCCTTATTCTTTGTACAAATTAATTTGTATTCTTTGTTTCTTTTTGGCCCTTATTATTTGCACATACACCCAAGGAGTATAGAAGAGACTCAGATTGTTTTTTCGTCATTAGCCCAGCATTTACAAGTTCTCATTCTTGGAGAGAGAGATCCATTTTCCTCTTATTTCTTCAAAGAACAAACAAAACCACAAATAGTGATGTAAATCACCTATTTCATTCTTCCCACAAAAACATTCTTTCCGTATATGGGGGTCTGACACCACCTGCCCATGTCAACTGCACATCTCATGAAAGCAAATCTTAGTTTGCACAAGTGCTAGCATTCTCCAGTCTTTGCCTTCAGCATGGTTGCCTTCCACACAGCAGCATTAAGAGAAGGCAGCTCCATTTGCAGTTTCACCCTTCAGCAGACCCACATTGTAATTTTGCCCTGGCCTTCACTGCCCATTTGCCAGTGCAGACACTGGTGATATTGGAATCACTAGCATAATTTTTTAAGAAGTCCAAGGCAAATTTCATAAAAAGATCAATCTTTGTCAATTTTAATATAATGTATTGGTATATTTATTATTTGTGATGATTTGAGAGGAAGGAAGGATAGCAGCCTGTAACAGGAAAGAGAAAAGTATCTCTAGCTTGGTACATTATAAGGAGTAGGAAGACAGCAGATGCGAGAGCAGAATGTTTTCTTTAGCTTGCCAGCTGTACTTTATATGAACTAAGCATGTTTGCTGTTTTAATCCCTAGAAGAGATAATATAAAACTCAGTCACTGGTGTAGTGATCATTGGCTTCAATTAAGAGAGTTTGGGCATGAAAAACTAAACAAGTTTTACTGTGGAGCAGTAGGCAAGCTTCTGCAGTCCTTTAGCCGCTATCACAGGCAGCTATTTCCTGAGACCCCATCTCTCAATTCTTCTAAATTAGGGAGTGTCTCTAAATTACAACTTTTATCGCTACATCTTCCCTCTTAACAATAACTACAAAAATCAATTAATACAAAAATGAATTCACGTCCATCTACAGAAGAGAAGTTATTAGCACATCTCTGAAGTCAGTCCTATCCCCCCTTTTCTGCAGCAGTTTTGATAAGTCTCCATGAGTCTTTCAGGAAGTTTCATTTTCCTCGCAGATCAATGAAGTATGTGCCTGAGGAGCTCGCTTATTGATGATCTGGTTCTTAGGGACTCTCTGAGCTTTGTACCTGTAAACAAGCTTTGAATCGAAGATAGTGTTTTGCATTAGTCATAAGTGAACTTTTAAAGTATTCAGATAGTCAACAGATCGTATCCCCTAGGTCTGGATGCTTAGCCAAGCAATCTAGGTAGCCTGATTCTGCAAAATTAGGCCCGTGGCCTTTCAGTCAGATTGATGTATCTGGACTTTTGCACCTTTAAACTATAAATCTTTTGAGAATTCAAGCTGGGAGCATAGAGAAAATCACTCTTGCATTACCTCAGCATTTTGCCTTCCAGCTCTTACAGAGATTCAAAGAAGACAACCTGTCTTTTTTCTGGCTTACCATCCCTTTCACAGGTTCTGTAACAAATTTAGTTCAAGTTGAGAAGAGTACCGGGACTACAGTTTTTAATTTGATCCTGTGTAAGTTTTCCTGACTCGACTTGTTTCATACGGAAGAATTTCCAAAAGTGCTCAGTGCCAGTCTAATTCTGTTTCTGTTATTTTACCTGGTAGTGCCATAGCAAGGGGGGTGGGAGGTGAGGGGGGTGACTGCCCTGGGCAGGGCATAGGATGGAGCTGCTAGTGGCTCATTTGCAGGGGGCGCAGGGATGGGGAGAGGGTGACTCCCACCACTGCATGCACTCCTGGGAAAGCATTGGGGGGAGGGAGGGAGGGTCCCCATCAGATCTGTGCATGGGGCGAGGACAGGCTGCCACTGCAGGCTTTGCCCCAAGAACCAAACTTCCTTTCCATGGCACTGCCTGGTAAAATTATCATGGACTTCAGTGAGAGCAGAGTTAGGCCAATGCTGAGCGCTTTCCAACAGCCCAGCCCAACTGGCTTCAAAGAATAAGATTGTCCTGGCACATGTGGCCCTTCGTATAAGTTCAAAAGCCACTGAATATAAGAGGGAACATTCAGGGAAAAGAGTGGTCAGTCCCAGGAACAGGACCTAGGATAGTCATAAAAATTATTTTTAGAGTATTTAATGAGCTGCGTCATTGAATTGGCAACTTTGGGACAGATTTTTCTAAATAAGGTGCCAAGTCTCAGTTCAGACTCCAGTGGAAAACCCACCAAGAAGCAGGCCCCGCCTGGTCTCTGGAGATGCTTTACCATTCTACTCTGGTCAGATTTGAGGCAAAACAGCAGATACACAGAGCACTTCAGCCTCTGGGGTTATCACTCGAGCACTCTTCACCCACACTACATTTTAAAGAGACTCTTGACATCAATGGTTTCATTTTCTCCCTGGCACAGATGTATGTAACTATTCACTCTGCATGGGCAAGTAAGGAGACTGGCTCTGAAAAGCTGAGCTTTGCAGCTTGATTTCTGATTGAGACCTAAGGCAGAAGATTGTCATAGATGTCGTTATATTGAATTGTATCGCTCTATTACCAGCATAAGACCCTCTCTTCTATTGTAATTTCATGAAAGAACAGACTTTCAAGTAGCCACCCATAGTTTAGGGCCTGAACCCCATCCTGTCAGCTGAACTACAACTGCACAGTCACTACACTTTCAAGGTGATGCCCTAGAATAACACAACTAGTGCTACAATTATTCCTTGCATGGAAAAGCATGCCATCTTTGTCAGGCTAGAACAGTGTCTTGCTCAAAGCACAGTTAAATGATCAATCAGCATGTTCCAAATGAAAACAACTGGAACAAGCAGCTGAAGCTAAAACTTGCAGTAGTCACATGCACATACTGACAGTTTATCAAAACGGCCTGCATGCCCTGTTGAGTTGAAACTGCAGTTGCATGCTTTTAATTCTAATAAAAGTTCATTTTGAGATGTGACAAATGTGCCTGTCCTTATATCTCAGTTAACTGGTAACTGTATTTTTATTTCATTTGGGTCACTTAGACTTGTTTGTTTGGTGTCTGAAATACATATGAGCTGGCCTAGCAAAAAAAAACCCAACAAAAAACAAAAAAGCAAACCTCTAAACTAAACTGCAGTGTGTGTGACTGTTACCTGGAACTATTTGTTCCATTGTGCTTATACCTAATGTGATGCATAGAGAAACTACCTGAGCAACTAGAGCTATGTGGCCTTTCCAGAGCATCAGTCTGAAAGATTAGGTTTTCTTCCCAGTCTGTTCAGCTCTGTACATCCAGCCATACTGCCTGTACCTTATTTATTTTAGGAATGAAGTGCTATTTCCTGGTACACACAGTCTGCTGGAGTTTGATCCTAGCTTTCAGAATTCTTTAACTGTATTTTCTAGGAAGCAATTGGTGGTACAAATTTTACATCTCACAGTGTCTTGGTTCCTTTAATGCTAGACAAGCTGATGATGCTTTACATTTACATATATATTTTAAAATCTAATTGGATACATTTTTCAGTGCTTTATTATTGGCATGGTTCACCAAAATGACTGTTCTGTTAGTTGAATGTTATCAGTGATTCCCTCCTTAGCCCATTTCATAGAGAGATGTGGTATACGGCAAACGGGCCAAATTAGTCTTAAACGGGACCCAACTGGAAATAGTGGAGTTATACCATCAGGGAACTGGATCTGCTAGAAACTAGGTCCTCAGCTAGTGCAAATCAGCACAGATTAATTTAAAACTGGGGGGGGGAAGGGATTGAACTTCAGTTCATACCAGCTGAGGCTGATGTTTTGCTATTTTCTTTGATACTTGTTTCAACTCAGAATTAAAATTCACCAGCTGTAAAATCCCAATTCAAAATTCAGCTCAGCTAATTTTAACATATTCCTTCATTAAATTGATTGAGTACATGTATGCATCTTTTAGGGGGTGGAATTAAGCTATTAATTAATATTCATGTAAGCAAAGATTTGCACTGCACACATAGAATATGTACATACAAACACACTCTTGACATACTCAGTTTGTACAGATATTTACTTAGTTCACTTTTATTTTTTAAACTACCCAGTGGAACTTATCATTGTCAATAAAACTGATTGGGTTAAATTCACAGGCCAGAGGATTACTACTTTTGGTGATGGCAGGAGCAGATGGCACATCACTTATGCATAATGGAACACCTGGTACTGGGAGGGGTGAAGAGAACATGTACTAATCTTCCAGTAATATCATGCTCTTACATAACGTGGAAACAAAAGCTAGGGATTGCTCACCGTTTCTGACGAAGACTTTACTTGAGTAATCCTGACATGTACCTGCAACTAGTGTTAAATGAAAACTGTGTGCTGTAATTCCCGTTTACTATATTATTAGTAATGTCATATGTGTTGTGATTCAGTTGGACTGTCAGAATGTGTAACCTATATACTTGTGTTTGTGGAACTGAAATGTCTTAAATGTTGCATGAAAATATGTTATAAAAATAGATTTTTTTTCTATTTTTGAACACCTCTAAACTGAGGGATCATGGGCCAATAAGTGCAATATTTAATGACTTACTCAGTGTATATAAATTTGTGTGAAAGGGAGAAGTGTCATGTATGTATGATATGCTGTTGATGATGGCTGTGTGGCTTATTTAAAAGATTTTTAGTAGCTATGTGTTTAGTAGTGAAATTTATACAGTCAATGCTTTATCCGTGTAGTGTTGAAAATAATCTATTCCTACTTCATCTAAACTATTTTTCATATATAAGACAACAGTAAAATATGTCAGTATGTTTATTGCAAGTGCATGTCAATTTTACTTTTAGAATTGTGGGTGTCCTTTTCAAAAGTTATTGTGTTATATTAACAATAGTGGAGAGACATTTTCAAACAAAGGTATTTTAGCCATTTCTAAATAATCTGTGCATACTATGTTAAAAGCATGTTCTCCAGAAACATATAGATTGTCTTGGAACTCTTAAGCAGAAACCTTTGTTTTATCTCAGAAAAAAAACTAATTCTCTGCTTCGTCCACCTGTATTGCATAATATCATGTGGCCGCTTTAACTTAATTGTATACTTCATTCATGATAATGATAAACCTGGAATAGTAAATAGGAGTCTCCAAAGGTATCAAAGATGTTAAAATTGAGTTGTTTGCATCTGTTTGGTGCATTGGAGTCACCATTTTTGAAAGGCACTTGTATCTCACATCTAAAATGGTCCAAAGCAAAAATGTTTAACCCTTAATAATTCCACTCCGATGGTTACATTTCTAACATTCTCAGATATTGCAGGTATGACATACATTCCTAAATATATTAGGGTGCAAAATTTGTCTTATGTTGCACTGCTATAAATTTTGAGTTACTCCATTGACATAAGTGGGGTTTCTTAGCTGTATAACTGAGAGTAGAAGAGGGCCCAAATGTTGCCTTGAGATTAGAAGGAAATATTAAGCTGTTTTTTCCTCCCATTGCCTTGCACAGTTGTACTCATCCATTCACCCAGTTAGGCAGCATCTTTAAGCACTTACCTAACTTTATCCCTGTGCAGCAAAGTACATAAGGACATGCTTAATTTCAGCTACTTGATCACTATACTGCCTGTGGTTCCCCACCAGTGATTGTGAAGATTGCAGAGCAGAAGTTAGTACTTTTAAATAACTCCCACTTCATCTTCCTTTGTACAGTATGGTAGTTCTGTAAGGAAATACATTCCTGTGCCCTGATTTGGATAGGAATTTGCTGAATAGGAACGAACTAGTGAAAGAAGGCCAAGATGAGTAAAATTTTGTGGATGGACTACCAAAATAACATTACTTTGAGCATTTTCATCATGGTAAAAAGGGCAGCAATTACATTCTCTGCCTTGCCTGGTATGTTTCCATGATAGGTTTACAAAGCTGGGAGCTTATGCAGTGACTACTTTAGTAAAGCTAGTTTTCATTAAAAAAAAGAAAAGTGCAAGCAAGAAAAAATGGTGAAAAGAAAGAGTCAAAAGCCAAGTCTTTCAGAAAGCCAATAGCTTCATTTTCCTTCACCTTTGCTTACCATCAAGTAGTTCTACTAAGAAAAATAGCCAGATTACATTAAGTAATACAGGACAATTGCAACTAAGGTCTGTGCATCTCAAAAATGTTTCCCCGTGTTTTATGACTTTTGTTGTGAAATCATAAGCTAAATTATACTGTGTAAGAGAAATGAAACAGTATAGGATGGGGGAAATTCACAATTATCTAATGAAAGATAAAATAAGTGCAAACTTCTCTGTAGCCAAGGAACAGACATGGTAACAGTCATAATTTAAGACGCATTGAAACACAAACATACAGGCAGAGAGCTATGAGACTGCGGATGCATTCCCTATATATTTCACTACTGCTGATAAGTGACCTGACCACCTCATGGTTGGCAAAGTTCTTGTCACCATGCTAGAAAATTTTAGCTGGTATTTTTACTCTTCCCTGTACATGTATGAGTACACAAAAACAAAACCAAATGCCTGGAGTAGTCCTGGATCCCTTGCACTAACTTGCTTGTGCACTCACTATTCTTGACAAAACATTGAAGTACCTACTTAGGATACATCTGTAAGGTGGTTGGCCCTCAGCCCTTCCCCATCTTCTAAACAACACGATATAGTGACTTGGGTTCTAAAAATATGTTAGTTTAAAATGCTGCT